AGTGTTCCTTATGGTCATCTCCATCCTGCTGGGTGGTGAGGAACCAGACTAACAAGGCTGCGGCTCAGCCTAGCTAACAAAATATGTGGTGGACAGAGGATTTCCGGATTATTCAGATTTGTTGTGATTATTACAGGCATCCGTGGGCGTAATTTCCACTGGGGTCAGGGGGGACATGTCCAGAGTAAAAGTGGTCATGGAGGAGCGTCTGTGTGTGTGTGGCAGGAGCGCATTTTGTGTGAGAGAGAGAGACAGAGAGAGACAGAGAGAGTTACGGGGGTTGTTGTTAGCATCTGGTGCTAGCTCGGAGCTAACGGAGATTAGAAGCTGTTTCAACAATAAGGAGAGGGAGAGTCCTCTCCTGTCTGACTGAGAGGCTGAGGTAACATCAGCTCAGGGAGGTAAAGGACTCGCTGAGTGATTATATTGTAAACTTTAGTCTAAGTTATCTCAGTGGGTCTCAAACGGTTTGGTCTAAACAAATATGTCCATCTATTTAATATAGTTGTTCAAAATAAGTAAAAAAAATTATTCCAATGTCAGTAAAGAATTAAAAACACAGTTTGAAAATGGAGTGATTAGTAAAATATGCATAAATAAAAAGAAAGAATGCAGACTAGGTAAGATAAAGATAGGAGAGAGGAGTATATCAATGATGTGTTATTGGTTGTGAGAATATTTTAATGGTTTTTGGAGTAATGAAATATATACAGGTCTGTTTCATATGAGTGTTGAGAGCTGTATCCATAAATCTCTTAATTTGTGCACCAGATTGATGCATTTAACTTCAATTTAAAGAAACAAATCTTACCGGGGTGCATGCCCCCGGACCCCCCTATAGGATGTGAGGTCATCACAAATAAAACAGGTTCATGGATAGATAAGTTTGCACACTCATTATATACACTACACATTTTTCTTGGATTAGTCAACACCATAGTCCCTAATATATATGTGTAGAAAGGCAGGAAATTGAATGAAATCGAGAACAATGTTTGATTGCGGAGGACACCCTGTTTTGTGTCCCCCCCACTTCTCAAACCAAAGTTACACCCTTGGCCCTGACAATGGGTTTAGTGCCGGATCAATGTATGACATTTTCGCGACAATCGCAAACAATTTGTGGGACTCAGAACTGTTTACAATAAAAATTCCGATATATTTAAAACAACAAATCCAATCATAGCTTAAAGATAATGGCTACTAGATGCACTGCTGCCAACTTAGCAGCCAATTCATTCGTGTGTGTGTGTGTGTGTGTGTGTGTGTGTGTGTGTGTGTGTGTGTGTGTGTGTGTGTGTGTGNAATTTAACCAGTCCGGCCCTCGACTAGTACCGATTTTTTTTATTTTGGCCTAGCAGCAATTCCCAAGGCCGCCAGGGGTGTCAAACTCAAATACACAGTGGGCCAAAATAAAAAAAATCGGTACTAGTCGAGGGCCGGACTGGTTAAATTTGTATTGCAAAACGTATTGAAATTAACTTATTGCACATGGAACTGACAAAGCTTAAATTATTGCCTATACAAAACAGTTGGATTAATTTCTTATGGCTCTATCTGCAGCTTTTCCGGAGTCATTTCTTATGATTACATTTTTCCACAGCTCAACAACAGCTTCAAAAAAACAATTCCCCTCAAAGAAAAAACCAAACATGCCCTGTTGTCTCAAGAAAGAAAGTGCAGAAGGAAACATCCATTGAAAGTCAATTTGCCGCTCTGTGATGCAAGCCAGATACTTGGCATCTCATCTCGGGTGCAAGTTCATCAATGTTTGGGGTCAGGCTCTGAGCTGAGGAAATCCTCAGGGTTGAGTGAATGTGTGGGTGCAATATACCGGCGGGCCAGATCTAATAGTAATTAGAAATTATTCTGCAGGCCGAAATTAAATCCACCAAGGGCCTGATTTGGCCCCCGTAGACCTATGCCATGGGAAAAGAGACAGTGAAAGGAGAAAAGTATGAACTGTGTCAGTGGTTGAATATAAACAAATGATTCCCTAACAGCCGGCACATTAAAAATCATGAGAGCGATCGAAAGTGCACTGTCTGAGGAATTATTTGGTCTGGAGGACTCAAACAAAAGGGGAACTTGTTGCATAAGAGTTGGAAGAAAAGGCAAGCAGGAAGAAACAAAACTCCAGATTCAGCAGTCTGGTTTCCACAAATCCTGCATATTTAGTGGAAGTGGGCTTACAGCCTTAGACACATCAAGTAATTCACTCTCATAAGGCAACAGTTGCTATGCCATGGGAATATCTTAAAATGTTAAGTATTTGTTCTGGACAAATATGAGTTTGGAAAGCAAAGGGATCATCAGGGTTATTATAATTCAACCTGAAATTGTCAAAAGTCAATGTCATGGTGGCGATAGAAGAAGTCAGAGAACCACCAAAGTATTCAGGGATATTGTCTGGAAATCATGAAATTCTTTGGGTAAAGTTGGGTAAAAAGTGAATATGATATTACAGTTGTGACACAAGTGTTATAGCGACCACATTTCCCAGAGCCATGACTCTAGCCATGCTGCAAATGATAAATAAGTGGAAATCTGTATGATATCCCCTAAAATTAAAGATATTTCTAGGATAATTAGTAATATAAACGATCACACGGAACACCCTAAAGTGAATAAAAGAAACGTAACGTTAGCATTTTATCTTTAATATAACTGCCTCAAGTCCATTGTTTATTTTTACAACACCAGACTGAAATATTAAATTCATACCACAAGATAAAAAATGGAGGCAAACTATAAAACAAAACCTAAAAGAAGTACAGCCTGTGGACTTATACTGAGATGCATAACCTCAAGCAACAGACGCTAGAAATCAACCACTCAACACAGAAGAAGCCGCTACTGCAACACAAACAAAAAAGGAGTAATACTTATATATTTGATAAACATACTTTTGATAATCAAGCCTACAATCATATGTAAAGAAAAAGAGACACACAGCTAGTCTATATTAAATAAATACAACAAGTACAATATTTCATAGATCAGACTAATACAATGATATTATTATCCAGTATTTACAATATCGTTAATGGCATGGTTGTGCTTAATAATTACACCAAACCGCTAAACACTTCCAATTTCCTGTTAAGAATAACATTGAGCTCAATGGGAATGAGTGTATGTTGATTAACGGCAACAGAATGTTGTCTGACCTTTGTAAACAGAGTCAGAATAAAGACAGATTTAAACATGCAACAACATGTTTACAGCCCATCTGATATACAGTGGTTTGAATAGCAATTCCTATTTTTCCGCTTCTGAATCAGGCAACTTTGTTCACACACACACACGCACACGCACACGCACACACACACACACACACACACACACACGATTATGTTGTCAGTTTAAGACCCATACTGTACAATGCTACGTGCAAAGTAGAGCCCTAAAA